GATCTCAAAACAGAGGCCCTATTGGAATGATTTCGTAGAGTACAAGACATTAGCAGAGGGTGAGGCACGGGTGAGAAGGAACCAAGAGAATGCCTGAAAAAAGGTATACCACCATGACATGGGATCAGGTGGCTACGATACTGCCATTCCGAAGTGGCAAAAAATGGAAGCGGACATTATTGCCAAGGGGATCGAACCAGAATCAGCCAAGTGGCCCCCACGCTCGAAGAATTGGTTTTTCGGTCATGGGGAAGACTCACCCACGAATCGATCTGGCGGCAGTATGGGCAAAAACTCAAAAAAAAAGACCGACGCCGATTGGCTTTTGCTATAGAAGCTAAAGAGATTGGTGTGTTCAAGCCCAATAGAGAGAAGGATGAGTCGACGATGCCATCGGGATCTTGAACACACCGGCCGAACCAGAGGCTTAGGACGCAACACTCCATGGGTTCATGGTTTCCCTAATGACAGAAACCCTACCGGAAGCCGCCAGAAGCAAGGAGGAGCAAGCAAGCGTGGGTGACAATGTTGGAGGAAATGGTGCTTGAAGCAAAGGAGCGAGAAAAAAGCAATGGAAGCAAGAATGCAGAAGAAATCGAAAGCAAGTGCAGAGAGCAATGAGTGCCCAGAGGCAGGCATCAAAGCCAGGAATGAATGTTAATATTAGCCCCCTAGTCGGGTTGAAAAGCAACAAGCGCTTCCACTGAGCTGCCAAAGCAAGATAACGCAGCGCTGCGCTTCCCCGTGGATGATGTCACTACTCCAATGACATCGATTGAGCTACATGTTCCAAGGAGGAATGACACAATCAAGGTCGTTGTCGGTGTTTTTACTCCTCCAGACCCTACCAAGACACCAAGAATCCATGGTATGCTAGGGTCGCAGTGGATAAAGTGAGCAAAGGTTATGAGGATCTAGCTCTTGACATTTCTGGAGGTGATGGAGAGAAGACTCTAGGAGAAGCAGAGAAGGCATATATACTATGGCGCAAGCGCTACATCATTATCCCTAGGGCGTCTGCTCCACCGCCAGCAGACATTAGGTGCGGACAAAAGTTAACAAAACAATTTTTTGATAATTTTCTATGGGCATGACTAATAATAAGCATTTACTTATATCTCATTATTTTTGTACTCACAAAGGGGCCTCCGCCAACCAAAGTCCAGCTTGTTGCTTCTCCCGACCATCATAGTGCTCAGGGCAATGATGATGCCTTCGAAGGCACTGCTGCATCCCCACCATCTCCAACGTCTCCGCCGCCTCCAAAGTCTGCACTGCCTCCAAGGTGGTCTCCAATGCCTCCCCCGCCTCCAAGGAAGCCAGCCCCTAAGAGGTCCGCCCCTACAAACGGTTGCTGCCACCCCACCGGCAAAAGCGAAGCAAATACTCATCCAGCTATTCCCAAAAACTATCTTATGAGAAAAGTGAACAGAATTAAAGGATGCAATACAAAAAGAAGTGATGATTTCTTTGAAGGTGCAAAATAGGCATGACGAAGCGAGGAGAACCCGAGAGCCATCATACTTCTTCCTACCTCCGGATCAGCTAAGAAAAAGAAGTTGGAACAAAAAAATAGGATTCTCTTAAGAGCGCCATGAAACAACCGATATCGGACTATGACCGCTCTCTCACCAAGTCATATGAGGCAACAGAAAAAAAGAGAGTAGGGAAAGGTGTTGCACAACTCGGACAACAATCGCAACAATCAATCCCCCACAATGTTCCTAACGAATATGGTTCAAACTTAAACTTAGTGGAGGAGGTAGGCGGCTATGAGTCGTTTCTTCAGCTTTATGAGGACACCGGTTTGAACCTTCTTGTCAAGTGCTCATTGAAGGACCATCTGCTCGGGAAGTGGATCCTTACAAGAAATTTGTACCAGGCCGAGTCTATACAACCCGGAGAAATTAGGTGAATCTGGTGCATGAAATGTACCCGCTAAACGGGTGGTACATGTCGGCGTCACGATCTTGGGACAAATCTATCTTTCTGTCTGAAATTAGAAACCACCATTACTTCCGTGGCAATGACATTATCTATGTCGAGCTTCCAGAATTACACCAACTATGCCACTGGACTCTCTCGACAAAAGTCTCATTAGCTGCTATTGTCTGTAAGTGTGATTATTTTCTATTATATTCACAATTTCTTTATTATATATTCACAATATATATATTCACAATTTTCATGTATACAAATATGAGATGACGGAACTTAGAAAGAGAAAGGATAATGATGCTGGGTTCGTTGATCCGTATGTCGTATACAAACACCCTAACCCTCCGAAGGATTATAAGCCTCAACTTGAGAGAAATCTCATGAATTTCTTAGTGAACCAACGCGACAAGAAGGAGATACTCTTCCCCTGCAACTTCAAGTGAGTGTTATTATAAGTAATTAATGTCGATCATATATATGGGACATCAATATTTCCTTACTAGCTAGTTACCTCTCTCTCTCTCTCACACACACACACATATATATATATATATATATATATATATATATATATATATATATATATATATATATATATGTGTGTGTGTGTGTGTGTGTGTGCAGCAATCACTGGATATTGATGGTCATCGATATGGCCAATAGTAGATTGAAAATCTTAGACTCGTTGAGAAAACCGCAAACGGAGTATCAAGACATGATAGATATTATATAAGGATAATTAATTTAGTTTCTCTATAACAACATATATATATATATAGTGGCGCCGATCTCTCAACAATTATTAAAGGTTAAATTATTTTTTTATTTTATTGGGAGCAGAGTTTGGAAAAGGTTCATTGAGGAAAAAAAATAAAACATTGCAAAGCGCCACTGGGTGTAATCGCACATAAAGTAAGTATTATAACTACACATTTATATTCAATTAACACCATATGATAATTTCAATTCACCCTAATTGATTTTTTTTCGTAAACGTGGGTTCTAAGGCAGAAGCAGGGTAACAACTACTGTGGATACTATGTTTGCGAGTTTATCGTGGCGTACTCAAAGAGAACTCCTGAAGAGCAACTCAAAGTACGTATATAAATACTTTTTTCTTTATATTATTTCGATCGTATATTTACAATTTCTTTATTGCTCTCATTTGTATAAGTAATTACATGAGCAATACACACATATATATATATATATTAATACTTTTTCCTTTAACTTTTATTGAAGACTGAATGGTTGAGGAAAAGAGTCATACGACTTGACCAACTTAAAGCAATTCGAGAGACTATAGCAGGATTTCTAAATGACCAGATCATCAACCCCAACGACGAGTTCTACAATGACCCGAACGAAACGTGGATGCCAAATCTGGAGGAGTGAATTGCTAAGGACATAAACAATTTATATATCAAACCTTTGTAATATATATATATATATATATATATATATATATATATATATGTATGTATGTATGTATGCACATATTATATGTACATAAAATAACCTGTGTATATATATGATCATCATATATATATGCATGTACGCGTATATTCGTTTGTTATTTATGTACAAAGTTCGAACGAAAACTTACCCGTGCGAAGTACATATATATATATTACTATTAACAGCGTATTAAAAAATGTATTTTAATATCAAAACTAATCATTAAATGAAAAAAGAAACCAAAAATAGAAACCAGAAAAAGAAAAAAAAAAAGAGGAACGTTTAGTCCCGGTTGGTAACACCAACCGAAACTCAATGTCCTGCCCCGTGACGGTCCCTGGCCAGGCCTGGAAGCCCCCTTTACTCCCGGTCCCCTTCAAGCCGAGACTAAAAGAGGGTACCTTTAGTCCCGGATTGATGCTCCCGATTGGGAAACTGGGACTAAAGGGGTTTCCCAACCGGGAGAGAAAAAAAAAAACCTTGCTGCACCCGTGGCTGTAGCCATCGTTCATGCGTTCTTTTACAATAAGGTCTTTAAGCCTTAGCTCTTTCCTCTTCTTGCTTTGGTTGCATGTATTTTTAGCAACACAATGTCGATGAGCTCTTTCATTTCTTTGTGCTTCGCGGTTGCACATATTTTTGCAACATGAATTCACTGAGCTCTTTTATTTCAAATTTCGCTTCAATTGCACGTATTTTTTACAATACAAAGCCAATGGCCTCTTTCTTTTTTTCGGTTGCACGTATTTTTGACGACTCGGAAGTAATTGAGCTCTTATCATTCATCTGTATACTTAGAGATCAAAATGATGCATGCAGTGCTCTACGACTGGTCAACTGCTGACTAGTTTTGATCTCATCAATTGTGTTTTTGCTCTACGACTGCTAGTCGTGTGCATAGGAGGAGGGCACGCACGCAGATTGACTAATCACATATGCTGCAAATCTTTAATCTCAAGCAAGCAAATAGTAAAGGGTGTGTTTGGTTCCCCACGATAAACCCTATGTCGTCCAGGTTTGGATCCGTTCATTCTGTATATAGTGGGATCTTGGCTCTGGGGAGCAGCCCAAATCGAGCTTCACTCGCTAGCTAGGCCTGGTGGACGCAGAGATCGAGTGCGGGGTTCACGCGTCAGTCTCACGTGTCATGTATGTTGAATCTGCCAGGTAACCAACCAAATAACTTACCTTTTTGTATCCGCTGATTATGCAATCTTACCAAACACTCGTTTTCTAAAGTACGGTTTCACCTAGTTTACCACCCCTCATCCGAATATAGGAACCACGCCTCGTCCGACAATCAAACACACCGAAAAGGTATATGCAGAGTACAAAGTCGATCACCACCAATTAAGCACCAAATTCCTCTGAAGTAGAGCATTTAGTTCTCTAATCAACTCCAAATCTTCAATCAATCACAGCATTACACTACGGAATGACGGTAATATCAATATCCAGGTCTAAACGATGACATGGATTGAGTACTAATACAACAGACTATCACAGTATATATGTCCGCATCATCTTCATTCTCAGAGTCAGAGCTGAATTACACCACAGTTCATAGCACTGCAGCAATCCAGGCCAGTGGGTGGATCGGTCGGTCACTTCATGCCATGGATTATACCGCTGCGGCCGCCGCGCGGGTAGCTGGGCTGGGGGGCCATGGCGCTCGCAGCCTCGCCGCAAGAACGCCAGCCGCCGCCACCGCCAGCGCCCGGCTGCACGGCAGTAGCTCCCGGCCCCGGCAGGGCAGCGCTGATGCTCCTTCCCCATGGGGACACGGCGGCGGCGCAGGCCGACGACGACGAGCTCCCTGCGCGACAGAACCTGTTCAGGGACACGGTGCCGTTGACGAGGTCGGTGTAGCGGAAGGGCGGCGCCGTGTCTGGGTCCATCTCCAGGAACGCCCGCTCGTCGTCGGTCAGGCGCGCCACCGGGTCCGCGTACTTGCGCCACCATGCCTCTGAACTCCCCGCTGTGTTTTGTTTGGGCACAACGTAATGGATACGTGGTTGGCACAGGGTCAGACAGAGGCTGCTGATCGATAACTGACATGATGCTCTCTCTGATGAATGAATGAATACCTTGTTGCAGCGATGGAGGCGGCAGCAGCGGTGGCGGCGAGGCGACGGGTTTGTGGAGCATGGTGGTGCCGGTGATCACCACCAGGCTGAGCCTCTTGAGTTCCTCCCTCAGCTGGGGATCCACGGGCCTGAAGGAGAAGGACCTCTTCCATGTGTCCGCCGTAGAGGCTATGGCAGGTATCATCAGCTTCTCCACTTGCACTGACGCCAGCACCTGCGAACATCACAAAGATCAGAGCAAGAGGTTTTAACAGCTGGTTCATCTTCCAGACCTGTAAAAAGTGACTGTCGTAGTGTCGTTGTGCACCTGCTCCACAGCACTGACCAGGCGATGCATCATTCCTTGTTTCCGGTAAGCTGGCAGTGTGCCCGCGAAGGGCATCTCCGCCACTTTTGTGCCATGGATCCTGTAATAATAAGTAATAACAAACAATTAAAAGAGGGGAAGCAATAAGGCATGCACAGCAATCATGTTTTCAAGGCATCAATTCAAGTATCTCAGCAACAACAATGTTGCTTTGCACAAATGACTCTAGCCTTATGGCCCCATATATAGGTTCAGACAAGCATTGGAGTTCGCTCTTATCTTCAGGTGATGCTTGCAAAAGCCCCAGATAGTTCAGCTTTTTTTGCATATGTATATGCTTTTTTAGGGAAACAAGAGGGACAAGTCCCTACTGAAATATATTGGTTATCTCTAATAAAATCTCCTGTAGGGGCTCTTCAGCCCCTCCAGTTTCCTCAAAAAAAAAAAAAAAGGAAACAGAAATTACAACAAAGAAGGAAAAAAATGGGAGGCTCCTTTGAGCTTTTGCATCCATGACTCTTCATAAGCTGGAAAACTTCAGGTTAGTATTGACATTGCATATATATATGGCTGATGTTACTAGCTATGCCACGTTATTACCCTGCCCCTAATTAAGCTTTGGCACAACTGACAACTGGTTAATATAAGCTTAGTGCAGCAGCAGAAAAAGCTAGGCTAATGTGAACAATTTGATGATGCATGCAACTAAAATGACCAGCTATGCCAGTTTCTGCCATTGAGCCACTGGTTTTACTAATCTAATCCAAGTAACAGTCCCAGATTGGTAGAAAGAAATAATAACAAAGCTTGCGATAAACTAACTGTTAAGGGTGTCCAGTACAAACACAAAGAGAAACTAAATCCAAACCTCAGCAGGGCTGCTGAAACGATCTCTCCATCCTTTTCCAGAACGATGGTGTAGAACCCTTCGTAGCTTAGCCGTTTAAATTCAGACCTGTACGTTCAAGCATGAAACATCTTCTATATAAGCGGCAGAATTAACACTCTATTAACTGAATGACATCTCAGGGTCAGTACAAAAATGTTGAAGCCACACTCTGACTCAAAAGACTTACCCAAGGCTATACACAGCTTGGTGGAGCATATCGATCTTGGTGCGCCGATCCTTCACCGGGTTGAAGCACTCATTGAGCACGCCGAGCGCCACTGCAAGCTTCACGTTGCGTTCCAGAACGGCAGGCATGCTCTGGGAGCTGGCTGGTTCGTCTTTCTGAATCCTCAAGAGAGACCAAGAGAAACCATCTGCGGTAGGGTTCGTCACGCCTGTCACATCTGATAGCTGGGCAGAGAGCTGAAACATCCATCCATCCAAAGAGAAAATGGCACCGTGTTCAGTTTATATAACACAAGAATAAAAAACAAATACAAAGGGGAAATAGTGGCATATCAGCAAGTGTTCACCTTCTTGCAGGTCTCGCCGCAGTACGCGCCGATGTCGCGCCCGTTGCCCAGCAATGGACGGCAGCTCTCGTGATCTGCATCGTCAGTTTACTTACCCCATTACATTCTCTTCAGAAAGCAGCAGAGAAAAAAAAAAACCCAATTGAGACGGTGACTCGGCAAGCGAGTGAGACGCGTACACTTGCGAGCACACTGCTGGCATGTGGACAGGCCCTGATCATCGTTTGACATGCACAGCGTGCACCGGCAGTAGTGGCACGACCACGAGCCCTCTGGAACCTGAAAATGGTTCCAGCGTTGTTGTTGTTTTCAGACAAACAGAGCGAGCACATCGATTCAGAAACTTTGCTGTTACACGCACACATGACAGGAGTATGTATATACGGACCTTGATGGCGAGGCACTCCGGGTGGAAGGTGGAGGTGCAGGAGTCGCAGCAGAGCAGCTCGCCGCCGTCGGCGCAGACGCCGCAGGCGTCGTCGCTGGAGTCCTTCTCGCCTGCCTTGATCTTCTCCATCCGAGGAGACATGATCCTCTCGACGACGACCCCCTTCTTCTGATGCTTCGCGAGGAGCCTCCTCTTGGCCTGCGAGTTCTTCTCCTCCTCCAGCTCCAGCGCGGCCCTCACCTTGGCCTGCGCATGGAAGGTCTTCACCTTCTCGTTCTCCCACGCCTCCTGCATGCACTGCAGGAGGGAGTCGCCGGACACGAGCAGGAGCTTCTCCCACGCCTGCTGCTGCTGCTGCTGCTGCTGCCCGGCGCCGGGGACGCACCGGGCACTGGCGTGGGCCTCGAACACCGGCAGCGGCACCACGGCGTCGCAGCACCTGCAGTGGACGCCGGCCCTGGTGACTGCGCCCGACACGACCTTCTCCGCGCCAGCGCCCGCGCCGCCGCCGCCCCCTGGAGCGTAGAACACCGTCTCTCCGTCGGACAGGAAGCCCCCGTCAATGAGCCATGTCAGGATGGTGTGCTTCTTCGCCGGCGCTGGCGCCGCCTCCGGCGCCACCGCGTCCACGGCGCTCCTCCTGGCGGCCAGGCTGTTGAATCTTGGCGGCGCCGCGGAAGCGTTCTGCTTCCTCTTCCTGCCGTTGCCTGCCGGCGGCGGAACAGGGACGATCTGAAGACCGTTGCTCTGCGCTTCCGTGCTGGGGCCAGATTTTGCCGGGCCAGCAGCAGGCTGGTTCTCGACGACGGCGGGGCTCGCGCCAGCTGCGACCGCGTCCTTCGCCGTTCGCATCTTGCTGGCGGCCCTCTGCCTTGGCTTCCTGGACGGCGCCGGCTTACTACTGCTGTCACTAATGTCGTCCTTGGGCGCGCGCATCCTGACAAGGCCATTCGCCGCCGCGGCGACCTTCCCCTGGGTAGTCGGCATCGCGAGCACAGGCGCCAGGCGTTCCTGTTCTGCGCTGTCGCCTGCCAGTGGCAGCGACTTCGTCTTGCTGGTTGAGCTGGATCCGGTGGCGGCGGTTGCGGCCGCAGTGATTTGAAGGGGCCTCGCGTTTGGTGGTTTCCCGCGCCCCGCGCCGCTACTGCCGGGACCAGGATCGTACCTGCGGGCGACGGCGCCGCTTTGGACGGCGACAGCGCCACGTCCGCCAACACTGCTGCCGCCGCCGCCATTCGCTCCCGCCGGCGCCCCGGAGGCGAACGACGACGGGGCCCACGCGGGGGACGTCACGGAGGGAGACAGGACCAGCGGCTGGCCCCGCGGGGACATGCCCGCCGCATGGCTCCGTGCCCATGGCGGGTGGCTATCCCATCCAGCGAAGCGCAAGAGGAGCTCCAGCGTGTTCCTCCCAGGTTCTCCACCGGGAGCACGCACCGCCATGGCGTTTGCGGCGGCGACGCCACTGGTGGCCGGGTGGCCGTACCCGGCGATCGCGTGCGCCGTCGGCGAAGGCAACGCGGCGGCAGGGTTGAGCACGGAGAATCCGTTGCTCGTGGCGGCCGTGGCTTCTGCGACGTTGTCCGGCCTCGCCGGCACCGAAGACGACGACGACGGCATCCTGCTCAGTTCACACATGACAAGAAAATGTTATTATTGTCCGGACGAAGGATTAAACGGAATGAATAGTCACTTCCATGAACGAGAATAAATAGAAAGCGAGTAAAAAGCCTTAGGAAAACAAATGGATGTAAATTGTGACCCAACATTTGCACCAACACAGCAATACATTATGAACATAATGACATGCAGCCACGGAACGGAAAAATCTGAAATCAATAGTTTCTGCGGTCATTCTGAGGCTGCACACATCAGCTGTGTAATAATAAATAAGGTAAAAAAGAAAATCAAATAATCAAAGAGAAAAAAACTCATAAAAGCTTCGCATGCAGCTTCCATCGGTGAAATCACTCGTGAAACTAACCATTTTTTTTAGGGTGATACTATTGACTGTCATTTGTAGCTCTAGGTGTAAAAAAAAAAGCTCAACTAGGAACAAAACTAACGACGCAGGAGCTGTAACATGCATGTTCTTTTGTTCTTGGGGGTGAAAATGTCATTTCCTGTTCCTGATTTTTGGGATATTTAACTTATTATCATCCTTACAGGTGACGCTCCTCCTTGCCGGTTTTAGATGAGAACCTATATATTTGCCACGGTAAACAGTGAATGTGTTACGTATTTGCTATTTTTACTGAGCTAGCACGCCACGTGAGACAGACAACATTGACACGTCCCCCGAAACTACTTATGCCCACGCAAAATGTTCTCTTTGTCCTCATCTCTTTACTTTTGCCCCCAGCCACTCTCCCTGGGTAAAACACTCCGCTCTCCACTCTGGCAGCCGCTCCCTTCTCCCAGGGCCGAGCTCGTGCTGAACGCCACGGGAGCTCCGACGAACCCTAGCACCCGCGACGGCCTCCCTCTTCCCCTGCCCCCCTGCACCATCTTCTCTAGCTCCAGCGAGCTCGCCCGCTGCCATCTTCTCCAACTCTGGTAAGCCTTCCTTGCCCCGACCTAGCCCAACCGCCCCTACCACCGCCAGCCAGAGGCGGAGCCACCTATATGGCGAGGTTGGGCGGCCGCTCTACCCCTCCGGCGAGCACCACAGCTGGGACCCCCATCTCCGGCGGTAGCGCAGGTCCAAGGCTCTGACTCTGAGCGAAGAAGAGGGCGATGACGACCGGGAGTCGAGGGAATCAGCGAAGCAAAGGGCGTCTGTGCTACTAGGCTGTCTAGCCAACAAGGCCCAATGCACGGAGGCCCACCCATCGCGCAGCCCAAAGGCCTTAGGGCAAGCAGCAGACCAACAGTGGCGCCGTGCTCCCATCCCATCGCCACATCGTGCTCGCTCGGCTCGGTTCGATGGTGCCTCCGCAGCTTGCAGTCCGCCTCCACGCTCCCCGCCTCTGGCTGCCGCTCCGCCCCGCGCGCCCATGCCGCTCCACCATGCCCACGCGACCGCGCCGGTTCGAACCACCTCCGACTACCCTACCGCAGTGCCACTGCGTCCGAGCTGCCGAGTGGCCACAGGCCGGACTGCCAGTCCACCCTACCTCATTTCTTCGGCTGGCTCCGCCACTGCCGCTAGCTCCCCTAAGCCACCCGACCACCATCCCACCACCTGGCCTACCTACCTCCGCCCGGCTGGTCCCTTCTATACCCGTCGGAGTTGGAGAAGAAAGAGGGGGAGAGCTCGCCGAAACCCTAGCTACCACCGCCGTCGTCTTCGTCTTCGATGCTCATAGATCTAGGAGGAGGAGGAGGAGGCCTACCTTGCCGAAACCCGACGTCACCGCCACCGGAGGGGAGGGAGGGAGGAGCTCGCCGTGGGCGTGGGGTCACCGGGAGTGGGTGTAGGAGGGGAGGGGAGGGAGGTGCTTGGGGGGAGGAGGAGGAGCTCGAGGGGAGGAGGCGAGCGTGAGGAGAGGGACGGGTCACGCGCTCGCCAATCACGCGACCCGTTGCGTAGTAGAGTTTCCAAAAAGGAAAACGGGGGGAAATGAGGACATTTCCATGGGCACCGGTTGGTTTATAAACATCCTACCATGCTATTTCTCTCACGTGGTGTGCCAGCTCAGTAGAAATGGCAAGTACGTAACACATTCACTGCTTTACCATGGCAAATGTGTAGGTTCCCGTCTAAATCTGGCAAATGGAGGAGTGTCATTTGTAAGGATGGCAATAAGTTAAATATCCCCTAATTTTTTATTCGCTAACTGTATCACGCGGCACATGACCCATCTGCGTGTCGCTCGCTGAGGAGAAAGAAAAACAGGTTAGGGTTCAAGAGTCAGGCGAATCCACTCACCGGCGGCCGTAGAAGGAGGTTTGGGGGGCACCGGTCATTACACGGCGGTGGTTGCGTGCAAGACGGCAGCCGGGCAGGGCGTCAGAGGTGCCACCCGTTAGAGCAGTGGAATATGGAGGTTGGGCAGGGATGCTGGCAGCGGCATTGCGATGTAGGTGATTTGGGAGGGCGGCTGTGGTGTTGCCGGAGTACGTGGCGTTGCCGGCTGTGGTGGAGCCGGTGAAGAACTCGTCGCAGCCGAGGTCCTGGCTAGAGAGCGTGGTGCTGTCGGAGTAGCAGGCGCCGGGGTCGGTGGAGGCTCGGGGACTGGGGTAGACGCGCTCGCCGAAGAAGAGCTGCCTACTCCCCCAGCTCCCTCGAAGTGGACGTACTCGACAGTGAAGTCGTCGTACGTCGGAGCCGAGCCATCGTCCACCGCCTTGTCCCACGCCCATCCTCGCCCTTCGTCGAACACAACGTCGCGCGCCGTGCGCACACGCTGTGTCTTCGGGTCGAGGATGCGGTAGGCCTTCGAGCCCTCCGCGTAGCCGATGAACACTCCCGGAGTGCTCCTGTCGTCGAGCTTGCTGATGTGGCCAAGCTCCTTGGCGAACGCGAGGCAGCCGAAGACCCGCAGGTGGGAGACCGCCGGCTTGCGCCCATGCCAAGCCTCGTACGGCGTCCTGCCGTCGAGCGCCTTGGTAGGCGAGCGGTTGAGGATGTAGACGGCCGTCACCACCGCCTCTCCCCAGAAGACAGCCGGCATCCCCCTCTGCTTGAGGAGGGCCCGAGCCATCCCCACAACCGTCTGGTTGCGCCGCTCGACGACGCCGTTCTGCTGCGGGCTGTACGGCGCGGAGTAGTGGCGCTGAATGCCCTCGTCAGCGCAGTACGACGCGAATTCAGCCGCCGTGAATTCGCCGCCGTTGTCGGTGCGCAGCACGCGCAGCTTGCGGCCGCACTCCGCCTCCGCAGCAGCCTGCGCGCGCCTGATGGCGTCCGCAGCCTCTCCCTTGCTGCCGAGGACCATCACCCACATGTAGCGGGAGAGGTCGTCGACGAGCAGCAGGAAGTAGCGTCGTCCTCCCGGTGTGGCCGGTGTCACCGGGCCACACAAGTCCCCGTGCACAAGCTCGAGCCTCTCCTTGGCTCGAAAGCTAGCCCGCTGTGGAAAGGGGAGTCGCCTTCGCCACAACACGCAGACGTCGCAGAAGCTGCTCCACATGGTCGAGGCACGGCAGGCCTCGCACCATCTCCGTGGCAACCTCGAGCCGCCTGGGGCCTCAAAGTGAAGGTGCCCGAAACGCTCGTGCCACTGCCACGCCTCGTCGTCCCGACGAGCAGCGAGACAGAGGGGTTGTGCCACCTGCACGTTAAGGACGTAGAGTCGATTTGCGCTTCTGGATACCTTGGCAAGAAGGCGACGACGACGATCCCAAATCCTCATGACTCCGTCCTCAACCACCACGCGCGAACCGTTCTCATCCAGCTGTCCCAAGCTGATGATGGAGTTCCTCAACGCGGGGATGTAGTAGACTCCGGTGAGCAGCCTGTGCTCACCAGACACGGTGGTGAAGATGACGGAGCCGACGCCCTTGATCTCCACGCCGGAGGCATCCCCAAACTTGACGGAGCCTCGGACGCTAGAGTCAAGCTCGGTGAAGAACTCCCGTCGACCGGTCATGTGATGGGTGGCGCCGGTGTCGAGGCACCACCCGTCAGTCTTGTCGTTGCCGGAGCCGTTGCCGAGGAGGGCGTGTGCTTTTGGCTCGTCAAGGTGGAGGAGAGCCGCTGCGGCCGGTGCCGCTGGAGGTAGCTCGATGCTGGCATGTGCCATGAACAGAGCCGGCTCCTCCTCCTCCGCCTGTGCGACGTGGGCCTGGCCGCGTCGTGGCTGTCGACAGTCCTTGGCCCAATGGCCAAGCTGGCCGCAGCTGCGCAGTGTCGCCTCGTCGTGCGGCTTGTACTCGCCAAATGGCGTCGCCTGGCGCCTCGCGGCATCACCCTCGGCGGCGTCCTCGTGCCCCCCCCTAGGCGTCTCAAGACGCCTTGCGGCTTGCCACGCTTGTGGCCGCCTGTCGCGGAAGAAGGCTCCCCCTTCCTCCGGTCACCTTGGCTGGCAAGCCACCGCTTTGCCCCAGTGAGAAGGAGCTTCCCGCCCGGTGGTGATGGGCCCCGAGAGGGATCGTGGCTCATCGCCAGCTGTCGACGACCTTGAGGCGACTATATCGCCTCCTCGATCGACATCGTGGAGAGATCAGCAGAGACTTCGATCGAAGCGAGCCATCTGCTTGTACTTCTCGGGGACGCAGCGGAAGAGCTTTTCGACAGCTCTCTCCTCGCCGTAGGTGTCGTCGCCGAACTGCACCATCTTCTGCAATAGAGTGTTGAGACGGAGAGCAAAGTCATCAACGTCCTCACCTGGCTTGAAGGCCAGGTTCTCCCACTCCTTGCGAAGTGCCTGTAGTGTGGACTTGCGGGCGCGGTCGCTGCCGATGCGTGCCGCAGCGATGGCGTCCCAAGCCTCCTTGGCAGTCCGCTTGCTGGTAAGCGAGAACTGCATCTCAGGCGGGACTGCAGCGATGAGAGCATCCAGCGCCCGTCGATCTAGGTCGTAGTCGACGTCGCCGTACCGGACTGCCTCCCACATGTGCCGCACCTGGAGCTTTACCCTCATCACCGCAGCCCACTCGACGTAGTTGGTCTTGGTGAGGGTAGGCCACCCACCGCCGGGACCGACGTCCCTGACAACAGCCTGGAGCCCGTGGTAACCACGGTACCGATCCGGGGAGAGAGAGCCACGCTGCCTGTGAAGGCCACGCTCTCCATCGACCCGTCGGTACCGATCCGGGGAGAGAGAGCCACGCTGCCTGTGAAGGCCGCGCTCTCCATCGACCCGTCCGCCACCGCTGTTGCGTCGTGCCTTTCCTCCAGAGCGCCGCCGCCGCGGCGCGCCTCCTCCAGAGCGCCACCGCGCGTCCGCGCTATGTCAGGCTGCCGCCGCCGCGCTCGTGGCGTGTCTTGCCTGCCCAGCGCCACCGCCGTGCGCGCCTCCTCCAGGAGCGCCGCCAGCGCGTCCGCGCCTGTCTGGGCTGCCGCCACGCTCGTGGGCGTGCGCGGCTGCCCACTGCGCCGCCCGCGCTCGCGCTGCCTCCCTCTCTAGCAGCTCGAGGTCCGCGTCGGCGGTGTCGTCAGCGGAAATGGAGCTGCCGATGCTGCCGCGCAGAGCCTCGACCTCCGCTGCCGCCGCACGCGCTGCATTCGCCGCCGCCGCTGCTTCCGCCTCCGCTCTGGCTGCTGCCAGCTCCGCCGCTGCCAGCCTCGACGCCCTTGCCGCCGCCGCAGCGGTCTCTGCCGCCGCTCGCTCGCGTTCCTCTGCCGCGGCAAGTTCGGCCTCCTGCCGACGCCGCGTGCTCGAGGCGACCGAGCGCTGAGACTGCCCTGCGGACATGACGCGCTACCGGGGGACTGCTGCGTGGGGAGAGGGCTGCTTCAGACGAGCTGCTCGTCTGCGCGGGGGAGTGAGCAGGAGCGGCCGGAGCTGCTGCTTTCGCACTGGGGGGCTGTTAAGTGGTGGGAGGAGATGAGCAGGAGATGCTCAAAGCACAGGATAATACTGGCTCGATACTGGGTTGTTAGTCGTTGAATTCTCACTCTTGGTAGTAGGAGAATTCTTACTCTCATCGAGAGAGGATGACACTAGGAGTTGGGGCAATTTTCTTGTCTATTTCTCATACAAGCTCACACAAATGCCATACCAACCTGAGGGGTTGGGGTTACATATTTATAGGCTGCTAGCCAGCCAAGCATATGCCAAGATGCTAGTCTAAGATGCTAGTCTAAGATGCTAATATGCTGTCCTAGGTAAGATGCTGTCCTCTAGTCTAAGATGCTATCCTCTAAGATGCTGTCCTCTAGTCTAAGATGCTGTCCTAAAAACAGAAAACAGCCACAAGGACCATGTGAGCAACAACAGCCCCACAAAGACCAGCCACACATGACTTATCCATCAACACCTTGTGTCTTGTGATGATTCCTTTCTACTTGCTTGCCTCTCTTTGCATGCTTTGTGGATTATCACATCTTAATTATCTGGTCTTTTTAGAATTGCTGCACACTGTGTTCTAAGTTGCTCTCGTGTCTCGCTGCAGACCTAGATCCGCCCAAGCCGAGACCAAAGACATCTGCAAGAACGGCTCAAAGGCTAATTGCTCATGGGATGGGATTGAAGCAGTTCACAAACTTTGGGTCTGACGAGTTGAAGAAACAGGAGGGAGAGAGGAAGAACAGAATTGCCGCTAGACAAGCAATGCGTGATGAGGCTTGGGGTCCAGATTGATGGATAACATACCACGATGGCTGGTTGTGCACACGTCACGTCTGCGAGTTTGTTACACGGGTGTTTTAGATGCTTGTACTCTTTGCATGGTCAAATGCTGATTGATACGGAGGGATCTGAGAGCAGATGGTAGCAAGTGTGCCATGTGGCCAATGGATATGTAAAAAATATTATCAGTAATCTATACGTTTCTAGCATGTGGTTTGCATATTTTTTAGTCTTTGATTTTATAGAAGACATGGCAGCCATTTAAAGTAATGATAATTTGTTCATGATTATAATCGAGGGTAATACAACTTGCAATTTTTATGTGAATTTTGACCATTCGTTATACAAGGATTTGATATATTAGACTGTTCATAATTTTATGGCTCGATAATTTTCATTAATTTGTATGCCTATTACAAGGTCCAGGTAAGTCTAGCATTGTTAGCCTTGAACTGTATATAGGACTTTTTATAGACACGTGTGTGCCACATGTGCATTTCCACTAGTTTAATATAAAAATCCATATATTTGTTCTAACATAACATATTCATGGTCATTTTCTATGTTACAACTTACAACAAGCAATCAGATTGCACTGAGTACAGTTCAGTATCAAGTTCATGAGACATCATGAAAAAAAGGGGTTAAGTAAGCTAGATGACACATCTCATCATGCCCAGGCCCAACTATAATTTTTATGTGATAGTTTTGTTTTTGGCGCGCCCTCCATGAGCATCACGTCTTCATACCAATATTAATTAAGAGGCAAAAAAGGGGCTGAAACTATATTACAATCGTGGTCAGGTTCGCTGGACACCAACCACATCAAAGCCATGTTCACTTGTCTTATAATTCAGACTTTCCAGACTTTGTTTTTTCAAATTTAATGTTGTTTTCTCTCACAACAAATCAGCCGGAATGTGTTTGACTTGTTTTTTCAGCGGCGAAACAAGACCTTTCCAGATTCATTCTGTGCAGTGCAGCTATGTACATAGAATGCCAGCTAGCATCATTATGAGTTGTTCTTCCACTTACCTACCTTAAAGTTCCACAACTCAATGTTGGCTCACCCTCCTTCCTATTTCACATTCTTTGTATTAATAATGCAATCTATATTTCAAATCTATAGTATCTACAACATTAAATGAGCTAGGCGTTACACATTATGAGTTGTTCTGCCACTTGCCTACCATAAAGATCCACAACATGATGTTGACTCACCCTCCTTCCTATTTTACATTCTATGTATTAATAATGCAATCTGCATTTCAAATCTGCAGTATCTACAACACTAAATGAGCTAGGCGTTACACATGATGTTAGCTCACCCTCCTTCCTATTTTACATTCTGTGTATTAATAATGCAATCTGCATTTCAAATCTGCAGTATCTACAGCACTAAACGAGTTAGGCGTTACACTATCTGTTAGATCTTGAATAAGATTCTTTGAGTTGTTCCTTACCAAACAACCAGTCAATTTCTAGCCTATGGTGGATGCCAGCTAGCACCAGATGGATAGGAATATTAGTATTAATACCCATCGTTGAAGTAATCCTTTGCTTTGATAGATCCAAAGCTAGAAAGTAAGCATAAGTAGATAGTAGCCAAACCCTCGAAAAATGGGTGACAAACCTATTACTACGATATCGGATGAGGAGGCAAAGGAACCAACTACTCTGGATGAGGAGGAGGATATTGAGGCATTAGCGGAGCCACGGATTGGCTCCTCGATGGATGGATCATGGAGGTCTACCACATTGAAGATGGCACCATTATTCGAGTATGTTTCTCAAACTATAGGAATAGTGCTTGTATATGATTCAACAAGTAATTGTGCCGTATAGTGCTTGTATATGATTCAACAAGTAATTGTGCCGTATGGAATGTCACCTATAAACTAGACTTTCCTATTATTCAGATTTATGAACCTTTGAACTATTTTGCAAGCAATACTATACTTCTCCCATATCAAATTACACATTCACCACGAAGTCGGAAGTATTGGAGTACCTTTTTCCGGGATGATGAGCGATATTTTGGAATCGAAGGAACGTGGTGCGAAAAAAACACACTTCAGTGCCCGACTACAATTTTTTATGTATGACCAACTTTTTATTTTAGATGTGTTATTACAATTCTTTGTATGTTCATTATGCTTGCATATTCAGAGACAACATGAATGGCTTCCAAAGGGGTGGGTAATGGAGATAAGAGCTGGTGGGGAGAAGATGACAAGATGTACAAGGTATATAGCCACGAGTTTAGTTTGTTGGTACCATTGCTATATTATATATGTTGCTGGTTTTACATTACTTTGAGGCTCTCATAGTAACTAATAATTGCAATTAAACAAGCTATCTCTTATTGTAACATTCTGCTATTTGTATGCAACTTGTTACATTCAAACAAGAAACTCAGTACATACAAAATTTTCCAATTAATAAACAAATACATTGAACATTTTTGAATTATAGAAGAGGATAATATGGAATAGCTAGATTCTGAGTACGTAATTGCACCCCAGTGAGGAGCAAACTAGAGTGGAGGTATGTAAGGAATATCACTATATGAGATCATTGCATCTTTATATTCTTAAACTTAACTATTGTTTTTATTTAGGAAACTTATTTATTACGTATATACTATCCATTGTCCAGCTTTGATCCAAAAAACTTATTATAAATAAAGTTATATATATGTTATCATCAGGTCTTAGAAGAAATCGAATTAATTTTGTAAATGGAGCATCAAGTGCAATCAATTTTGTGTACTAATGATTTTAGTATACATTGATGGCTACTATTGATAGTCCTTATGGTTTCATTGTAGTTTTATGTCCACTCAATCACTGGTGTGCGATTGCTATCAAAGCAAGATGTACTACTATATATCAATGAGGCAAAGGTCTCGGTGCGACACCAATGGACAATGTGACACAAGTTCTGAAGACAATGTGTGTCTCTTGCTAGAACTTGTTCAACTCAAATAACACATTACGTCTTTTTTCAGTGTTTGATGCCTTTTCTATTTATTCGTTTGGCATATGTGTAGATACTTGCAAAAGTGGACTTTCGGCCAAGTGGATTGCCTGAAGGTTGGGTAAAAGAAATAGTATATAGAAAAACAAAGGAAGGATTGATCAGGAGAGATCCGGTAAATAATATGGCTCATTAGTCATGATTTTTACCATTGAATGAATGAACATTACTTGATTTAGGAATCATTATTTTGCCTTATCATGCAGTATTACACGGATCCTGCTAGTTCCTACACATTCCGCACACTGAAATCTGCATTATCCTTCCTAGAAACTGGAACGGTATCCAAGCATGCAATTATTCAAAGGACAAGTGTTCATGATCTGTACTCTTTTGAAATATCCACAGATATGGTAATGGTTCTCTTGTTTTTTTGTTTATCTAGTGAAAATCTGCATGATATACTTTTTCCTAGTTGCTTGCATTTTGGACATTATCATCCAGAAACAAAGGTAGTGAATTTTGTTCCCTTGCCACTTGATTCATCCACATTTGTCTTTCCTAACTTCCAAATGGTTTCGTATTTGCATTTCTTTCAATCACTTGTTACCTAGTTTGTTTTACCATTACCATCAGCAATGAGTAACTAGGAAACAATTATTTATGGGTCAACAATGTTATGGAAATCAACTTTCACTTAATGTTTTGTAGCGGTAATTTTATTTATGGTCTTGGTTTTTTGGCAATTGGGGACAATATTTCTTATACTCCCTCCACCCACAAAAAGTTTACCTTCTCGACAAGTTTGCTTCCAAACTTTCCAATATTAGAATAATATAACTTTAAACTATTTAGTTTTCAAAAACATATATTGTACGCTTCCAGCACTTTAGGTATCTCAATAGTATATATCAAAGAGCATATATATCATAGTGCACAAAATCAAATCTAATGACTATAAAGAGTAGCGGTGGAAAACTACAGAGGTAATTCTAGTATATAATTGATTAATTTTCTTTTCTATGGCAGCATGAAAGTTTACGTAATAGATTAATAGTAAATGAGAAGCCTTATCAGGAGCCCACAAGATCATCTATAGAACAGGATCTAAATATAGATGACTGTAAGTTCCTACATTTGTTGTTATTATCATAAATTTTGTATAGTTGTGTGCACAACTGCTTGAGTTTTTATTACTTTATTTATGTTCTAAAAATTTGCAAATACTTAAATGACATCAAAGATAGTATGGGGTTGGTTATCAAGAGTTTATATTTTGTTTTTTGCTACTTAAATTTTGCATTGTTGCTTCTAATGGTCTTCTCATTTCTTTTTGTGCATTGGGAATGATGGTATATGTGCTATCACAAAATTTTATGAAAACTCTTAGGGATTGTTTCCAAATTTTCTATGCAACAATATATACTGAAATATCATATCTTACATGGAAGCTTTAAATCTGATGTGCTTAGTTTGAGATAAAATAGGCAACATTATACTTTGGCCTTTAATTATTTGGCTTGTATTCTGACTTTTACTCAATTTATAAGCACCAGGTAAGTAAGCAAAGAATTAACTTTACAAATAAAAGTTTCAAGAGTATTGGTAGTTAGATGATTAACCAGACCATATGCCCATAATCCTTAGCATGCATAGCACACAATACTAGTTAATATTGATGTGCACCACTAAGTTCATTTTTCACCTCTTCTTAAATCTTCTCATGTGGAATTTCGTTTGAATCCAACTCAAATTGGGACAGACGGGATAGCCCTGGTTATTTTGTGAATACCTCTTTTAGTGATGAACTACAATCTCAAGATACAAAATTGTGTGGTTGATTAGATGCATCAACTACAATCTCAAGATACAAACTTGTGTGGTTGATTAGATGCATCCAACCTTCTTGATTGAAACACATGCCTCAATAGAAATATTTTTTACATATGGAACTAGGCAGCACGCATGTTCAATAACAAATTATACGTGAGATTTGAATGGTAAAAGTTAGTACACATGTACTGGTTCTATTTAAACAAATATGACTATTTTATCATTGTTTAATATGTTGTGTTTCCCATCCATTCTCTGATACATAATTTATGGTTTTTTATGCTAGCAAAAGACGGTGATACCTCAGGTGGCACCGATTCAGCAAATGAGTCTGAATAAGAAAACATTAGAGGCAAGAAGGTTGCCAGCAAAAAAAAGCAACTAGCTCAACGACAGGAAGGCCACCTCAATTTAGGATTAAGGAGGGGATGGACAATCAGGATGCAGACTAATGAAACTTCTTGCACACTACATACCAATAAAATTTCACCAACACTTATGATGTTGTGGTTTGTTCTTATTTTTAGTGTATTGTTATTACCAAAATAATAATTAATTGCAAAACCAAAACTTGTATTAGCTCATGTGAGACTGCAGAATTTGTTATCCTTAATGCTTCAAGTGCACTGAGTGCTAATAAATTTCTTTTGAATATATTCCAATTCATAACTCAGTGTTCAACATATTTCATAAGCAATACGATTATCTGGCTTCTGCTTGTGTTGATGCATTAGTTGCACGTTGGGGGTGGAACTGGTTGCTTACTGAGATTTAATATCTATCTATCTACAACTAAAAAGCCTCAAGTGTCAACGTCTACCCAGTAGCACCAAACACACCACTAACACAAGACCTCCAGCCGATTGAGCATTTGTTCGTCCACCTTAGCACTAGTTATTTTTAATCTCCTCAGCACCATACATCACGACGCTAACACATCCTTCCCAAAATCGTGCATCTGCACGGCTTTGCATCTGTAGTCTGTACCCCTCCTAAAATCGTCCGCCCTCCTCCGCTGGTCTGCAACGGCTGACTTTGGTTGCGCTTCCGCTAGCCAGCGATGGTCTACCTTGGGCTCGCCTTCTCTGTTGGCTTGTAGCATCCGACCCCACCCGCCATGTCTGCCAGCTTGTGGCGCCCGACCTTGTCATGCCTCCTGCGCTGGCTAGAGGCCAACCCTGTGCACGCCGCACATGTCCCAGATGCCCACCTTCTCTACTAGCTTGTGGCACCCGTGGACCCTAGGCCGTGGATGCACTGCACGACAAATCTCGGGACATCGTCGGTGGCACAGGAGGAGATGGTGGCGACGCCTTCATTGCTCATGGTTGTGTCTCTAGCTTCCCTCTGCCTCTCGCATTCGATTGGGTCAGGATGGGGCATCGCACTGCATCGTTGCCTAACTCTAACCAGGGTGTATGCCTAATTTCGTGTTTCCACGGATGACGAGCTCCACGGGTGCTGTTAGAAACTTAGAGATTTTAGATTTAATTTAATCCAGAAAATAGTTGACAAATATTTGTGATATCATATATGTGCACGTGTCATCTAACTATTTCAGTAACAACCATGATGAACCTATTTTATGAAACTCACACAAATAAAACTCTCACTCAAACTTTAAACAATCCATTCTCATATTCTCGAGAAAAATCGCTTAGGATTCTTAGTTCCCCTGTTTTTGATGATAACTCTCGATCTGCTTAACCAACTAAAGCAAACAAATACATCTTAAATTTCTAGAAAAATTTTCTTAGAACTACTGTTGAGAAAGTCAGGACCAATTCTGGCTCTAATCTTGTCGAAAATAGATAAAAGATATTTCTTTACGAGAATATATCAAGTCAGACAGCTGCACTAATTCGGGCATAACTCCTAATCCGTTAATCCAATTCGAGTGAAACAGAAGCTACTGGAAAGATAAAAACATAGGCTACAACTTTTGTTTTAGTGCACCATTGAAACTCCACACCAATTATTCCTAGAAATTCATGAACTAGTCAGTCTAATTTACATGTACCATTGGCGTACTCTTCTCCCACAGAATTTCTTTATCTGATTGCTCCTTAAAGGATCGAACTCAGAGCAGAGGTAACAATTTGCAAAGGATTGAATGGATCCTGGATTCCTAAAAATTTTCTTTCACTTGCTTTTAACTTAGTTGCCCTGCCCTCTCCTATTTTCTTTAGCCGGCACCATGTCGTTTACCTATTACTAATCGAGGACCAAGCAACAGCACCTGGTGCTTCAGGGAAACTTCAGCACACAGGACAGGTTAATCAACACCCTAGGAAAATCAGTGCAGCGCCACGGTTGGATGAACGTCGCTGGCAGAGATGCAAGAAGCAGCAGGGATTGCAAATGCACGCGCGGTTACTAGTAAGCCGAATACTTCGACAGGAGATGGCAGAGCAACAAGGGTCCGGGAGGCAGAGATCTTTGGCAGCATCGATTAGAGCAAAGCGGCGGCAGGAGCATGAACAGAGTCATGAAGGGAAAAAAAAGGAGCACACGGCTATTGCCCGGCCAGCCATGTGTTAGGCCAGTCGCACAGCCAGCCGCTCTGCACGTGCGCTCTCTCTTCTCTCTTCTTCCCCTCATGGTCCTGTTCATCTTATTCTTCCTCCGCATGGTACTGTTCATCTTCTTCCTCCTGCGGTCCCACCGCCCCGTTGCCCATCGCCCCGCCGTGGGCGAGCTAGGGTTTCGCCGGAGCTTCGCCCCCCCCCTGCTCGCCCCAGCCCCCGCCGCTGCCATGCCCATGGCGCCCCCGCCCCAACCTAGTCCGGCCGCCTCCTCTGTCACCAGGGCCCCTAAACCACCTACCCACCTCCCCACCACCTGACCGGCCTTCCTCCCCAAACCACTTCCCTTCTAAGGCCGCCGGAGTTGGGGAAGATGAGAGGGAGAGCTCGCCAGAACCCTAACTCGCAGATCCAGGAGGAGGAGGAAGTCGCCTACCTCATCGGCGCCGCCTCCTGCTGTCGGTGCCCGCCGCCTCCACTGGAGGGGAGAGAGGGAGGGGAGCCACGTCGGGGAGGAGCCGTGTTGGGCGCGTGTGGAGGAGCCGCTGCCGGAACCCGCCATCACCATCGGAGGGGAGAGAGGGAGGAGCCGCGGCGCGTGGGGAGGGAGATGAGTGCGGTGTCGGGCGTGAGTGATTGTGTGCACGCGGCTGGACAAAAATATGGCTATGGGTATTAAAGTCATTACCAAAAAGAATGAGTCGAACAGGTGGTGGCGTGAGAAGAGTTTGCAGCGTGAAAAAAAAACCCCTGCCTTTTCTTTTTCTTAACCGATTAGGAAACCTAAGTCATATGCAAGGGTTCAAATTTTGCGGCCCCTACTAAATTTTTCCGACCTCCAAACGGAAGATGTTGCTAGTCAAATGGATTTGTTTCGACGAGATCTACAAAAATACGGTCTCCGATTGTCCATGGGACTTACAGTTCAAGAAGTCAAAATTTTCTCCTCTTTTCGGTCTGCACGATCAACCCATTAATTTTTTAAAATTCAGGGTATTACAAAGATCATCCAGGTAAGCTACATGGCTTGAAAACTCACAGGTATCTGAGGGCATTGTGATGCGGTGATGCCCTGTACATGGAAACTTCAGAGTTCTGAAGCTTCCTCGTATTCAAACCAGGGATTAATTGTCCTAATCACGCTTGTATGTGCTTTGTCACATAGCTGAAACGGCTATCTGAATGAATTGTTTGAGTGCCTTCCCATACCTCAAATGGACTAAGCCTTTACAGCAGCTGTTTTTACGGAATCTTGCTTTCTTTAGGGGAGTCGCATGACTAATGTCCTTTAGAACGTCGTCGTTCAAATTGTTTGGGTCACGTGATATGCCTGTGTTCACCAAGTTATATAATTTATTTGGGAGCCTTTCTTTGGGCCAAATACTCTCAAGATTTAACAAGGTATAGTACTTGTTGAATCTGTTATACACAGCAGGAAAATTGGAGCGAGGTTCAGTGTCCAAGTCAATCGGTCTAGCTATACTGCATAATGTCAGCAGCTTACTTGATTCGTTTGAGCCCATACTCATGTACCGAACTGGGTGAAAATTGGCAAGCACAATTCTTTGGCGCTACTATGAGAAGATGATCATGTGCCTGACACAGCTAAACAAATCAGTCTGCATGTTTTGTGAATGGTTGAGGTAAACACGCTCTTTGGCTTTCATGAAGCTGCTACATAATGCTACTATGCTGACACCTCCGAAACTACATGCATTGATGAGACCATTGTGCTAATTGTTTGGAATTTCTCTATTTGCCTCTTGTATCTCAAACTGTTGGTGGTGGTGGTGTAGGCGCAGGAGGGAGAGGAGGCGGCGGTTAGAGCAACTCAATCAACTTGCCGATAGGCTGCACTCACGCCCCCGCTAGAGCAACTCAATCAACGTGAAGGTGGGTTGATGCTCGAAAGTTCTCACTTCTTCATAGCATTTTGACCGGTGTGTATTGGTCACATTCCCCATCACTAAGGCACTCGGGGCACTACGGCCGGTCCTCATTTTCCATAGGCAATGTAAGACAACATGTATGCGAGATGTCCATGATTCAAACCTGTCACGCATGGCCACTGCACATATTAATTATTTAGAGGTGATTTCACTGAACCTCGGCAACCAGGCGGTTGCTTCAGATACGAGTTGTCGTTCATCGGGTTATCGGGAGAAGATAATGATTTGGCTTATGCAAAAATTTTATCGGTAATCTATATGCTTCTAGCATGTGGTTTGCATATTTTTTTTAGTCTTTGATTTTATACAAGACATGTCAGCTATTTAAAGTAATGATAATTTGTTCATGATTATAATCAAGGGTAATACAGCTTGGAATTTTTATGAAATTTTGACCATTCATTATACAAGGATTTGATATATTAGACTATTGATAAATTTATGGCTTGATATTTTTTATTAGTTTGTACTATATATAGAATTTTTTTGTAGACACGTGCGTGCCGCATATGCATTTCCACTAGTTTAATATAAAAATGCATATATTTGTTCTAACATAACATATTCATGGTCAGTTTCTATGTTACAACTTACAACATACAATCAGATGGCACTGAGTACAGTGTATCAAGTTCACGAGACATCACGAAAAAAGGGGTTAAGTAAGCTAGATGACACATCTCATCATGCCCAGGCCCAGCTATAATTTTTATGTGATAGTTTTGTTTTTGGCCCTCCATGAGCATCACGTCTTCATACCAATATTAATTAAGAGGCAAAAAGGGGGCTGAAACTATGTTACAATTGTGGTCAGGTTCATTGGACACCAACCACATCAACTCCAGATTCATTCTGTGGTCAAACA